CGAACCTGACTGCATCTTTTAAAAATCTCGAACCCGGGCCAGTCTTGACCCGAGGACCTCCGGTCTGATCCCGGACCTAACCATATTCTAGCCTGGCGTCATCCTCCACCCCTGTTTTGTCCCCCTAAACTTAGTCCTGACCCCAAAGCCCATCCAGTTCCCAGGATCCTTGGCCTGACCCCTCCTTGCCTGACCCTATTCTATCTATGAAGCTCATCTTGCCTTGTCTTGATCACCCCAGTTTCTGTCCTGACGCTCGACCTGTCTGTTCCCTAAACTCTTATCCAGTCTCTGAACCCCTTCCAGTCCTATCCTGTCCCTCTAACCCCAATCCGATCCATGTCTGTCCAGATTTCTGACATCTGGCTACTGTACTTTCTCCCCACCCTGCACTACCCCCCCCCCTCCTGACTCCTAATCTCCATCCTGGGTAACCACCTTTAGACCATCCCTTTGTCTCCTGCCCTATCCCTGCCCCCAAACCTGTACTGTTTTCCCCTGTCTTCTCTTGTCCCATTGCTGTCCTCATTCCTCTCCTCATTCCACACCAGTCTTTTCCTGTTTCTTACCTCCATCTTGCACCTGCCCTTTTTCCTATCCCTTCCTTTAATCTGCTTTGGTGTGTCCCCATCATGTCTTCTGATTACTGTTCTCTACTGACCCTGACCCCTGCTCTGCTTTTTTGTCCCCTACTGCCGCCGACTTTTTTTCTCTAACCCTTGTCCTGAGCCTCACTCCATCCTATCTCCTGGCCAGTGTCCTGACTCCTTCTGTGCCCAACCTCCTGACCTCCATCCTACAATGACTGATTTTGTTTTGTTCTTTACATTCCTTCCTTTCTTGTCCCTTCATCCTGTCCCAACCCAGGCCCCTGTTCTACCCCTTTCCGTACTCCCCTACCCTGTTCATCTCCTCCTTCTTAACACCCACTTTCCATCTCCTCTGAGCCAGAAGGAAAGGGGTCTCGTTATACCCTGCCCTGAACCAGGAGGTTCCGCTGATCCCGTTGTCTCTGAAGTTCATCCCAAATGCTTCTCTCAGCATGAACAAGAACACGCAGCCTTTTGGGCCTCGTGTGGCCAAAGTGGTTTTTGCATGTGATTTCCCCCACCCCCACCCAGTGATCTCACACGGAGCTGGCATTTCTCTCCCTGCCCTAGGAGGGCATAGAACTGTTCCTATGCTCCCCACCCTCCCTACGTGTGGAAGAACACCCTAAATTATTCAGTGACTCTGGGAGTCTGTGAGGTCTGGGTCAGATTTCCAGCCTTGTTAGGTTGGGGACTGCCCCATGGGGCTGAGCAAATATGTGGGGGTGGGAGACTCAAGGGTATGTGTTATTCTTCTAAGTCATGTCACCCCCACCTCCCGATTTTGACCCTGGGTGCATGATCCCTGCTTTCCTGGCCTGAAAAAAATCCATTCCAGGCAGAGACTTCAAGGCTTGGTAGGGGTAGGATGGGACAGGGGCTTATCCGCCTTCTCTTAGCAGTAAGTGTATCTTGTGCTAAGTCCATCTAACCTCTGTGGGCAGGTCTGGGGGGCGGAGGGGTGGTCACTGGGTGTTAGAATCAGGCCCATCCAGTAGTAATAATAACAACAACAAGGTTTCCTTGCTGTACGAATCTCCTTGATTCTAAGGACAGTCAGGGAGAATTTGGATAGTGAGGATGTAATGTGTTCCTCATTTATGTTTTGTTTTGCATTTCTCATAGAGAGTAGTGAGAGTTTGAGGAACGAGATACCATACCCATCTCACTTACCTAAAACATTTATCCAAACCTATTAATAACAGCACAAGCATCCCTCGCTGTCCCAATCTATTTGGTACCGGAGTTATGAGAGGGAGAGTTTGGATAGTTCAGACAGTGAAAGACCCCCAAGTTATCTGAAGGTATTTTGGTTTTGCAATATGTACTTTTAACCCATTATTAACTCCAATAGGTTAAGTCTGAAAAGAAGGAAATATCAGTTGAACTATCAGCTGTAAAAGTGTGTATACATTTTTTGGAACACCCTGTATATACAGTGATTTTCTGCCAGCTCTTTTAAAAATATATATATTTTATTGATTTCAGAGAGGAAGGGAGAGGGAGAAAGAGACAGAGACATCTATGATGAGAGAGAACCATTGACTGGCTTCCCCCCACAAGCCCCCCACTGGGGATTGAGCCTGCAACCTAGGCATGTGCCCTGACCAGGAATCAAACCATGACCTCCTGGTTCATAGGTCAACACAACCACTGAGCTACACCAGCCAGGCTCTGCCAGCTCTTTTGCTCTTTCTCTTTGTCACACGGATCTGGTGGTATGTTGATAAACTGGCTGTTAAAACACAAATGTTTGCATTTTATATAATGAGTAGAAAGAGTTCAGATAATGAGGAATATCAGCTCTAACTCAAAAACTTATTCAAATCTCATTTTCCTGAGCTCCAGTGGCAAGAATTGGGATAATAAAGGTACTGTGTTGTGTAAATATATTTGTTTCCTGCATTTTTTATGATGAGTAGGACAATGAAGGAAAACAGCTCTGTTTCAAATATGTTTGATTTGGCAAGGAGGGAGGGATCAGATCTGAGTAGCAAGTAGGGAGGGTTTTGATGCTGAGGGATACTAGCTCTGCCTCAGAAATTCACCAGATTATATTTAGTTCCTGAGTTCGGACAAGTTATTCAAGGGAAAACAGCTCATTTATCAGGTGAGGCTGAGGGATATCAGCCCTGCCATATATATATGTTGATATATTTTGATTTCTGACTTTGGGTTGCGAGGAATACTTGTAATTGTGACAGCCAGTACATATGGAGCACTTAGCTTGGGCCAGGCACTATCCTAAGCAAGCTTTGAATGTATTAATTCAAGTCATGCTCACAACAACCCTCTTCATCATCACTCCCACTTTATTGGTGATAACACTGAGGCCCAGAGAGGTTAAGGGATTTCTCCAAGTAGTCGCACAGCCAGTTAGTGGCAGAGCTGGGTTGAACCCAGACCTACCACTTGTTACCCCTCCATGAGGCCACCTGAGGCTCAAGTTCCAGTTGTGGCGGGGCTTAGAGGTTGGCCAGCTTCCAGGCTGTTAAAAGTCCTGTACCAGGGCAATGATGTGTGTGTGTGTGTGTGTGTGTGTGTGTGTGTGTGTGTGACTCTGTCCTGCCTGTCTGCTTGGCCCAAGAGGCCTGGTTACCTTCTCTCTCCTCCTTATTCCTGCACCTTTGTGTGAGGTTATTATTGTTGTTATTGTCATTAATGACATGGTGTGAGTGACGTTGCACTGGGAAATGCCTTTTAAAGTGTCTTTGACCTCTCTTGGCTCTGTAAGCGCCAGTTACCCATTTTTCAGATGAAGAAACCTGTCTTGAGATTCAATCTGCATTGTCAGACAGATACCTTTGTCCCTCTCATGTCTGATTCTATAAACATCCCTTGTCTCAACATCCTTGGTGTCCCACAAGAGGCAGGAGAGGCCATGGCTGAGAGGACACTCCCCACCAACATCCACTACCCACCTTATGGCTGCTGCCTCCACCAGCCCCAGGCAGCCTGGGATGGGGGTGGAGGGGTAGGAAGGGGGAGATGAAATGGGCCTTTGTGTTCTGTGCCAGAAATCTTATACCCAGGAAGAAAGATGGTCAGGGTGGCAGGAGGCATGTATGTGGAGTGTTGCTGAACAGAGGGAACGCCTCTCCAGGCTTGGCCCACCTGCCAAGCAGGCAGAGAACTTGCCTTATGCTGCCCTTTCATCTCACAGCATGGATTGCTGCAGGGGCCTGGGCTGGGCTTGGGCCCCGAGGTCACAGACAGATGGTCTCAGGAGGAATGCAGGAGGTGTGGTGTGTGCTGGTGCAGGTCCAGAGCCCAGGTGGTGGTGTGGGGGAAACAGTACATCTTAGGGACTCAGAACCCTCAATTTCCTTGACTTGCCCAAGCGGGGGAAAATGGGGAGGGCAGCATGGGTGTGAAGCAGCAGGAGTCCCCTTTCCCACTCCTCCCTTGCAGGAGTAGCCTCTGTTGGCCTCTGACCCAGGACCCAGCCCCCCAAGATCTGATGCGGCCTGCTCTCATGCCTCTGTGATCAGAATCAGGCCTCATCACCTCTCCAAGCCCCCACTTCCACATCTTCAAGCTGGCTATGAGGAGCTGGGTCTGCACCATCCACCCAGGTTTGTAGGGACCGGAAGGGGTTAAAGCACATGTTTGCTGGGATGATTTCTCTTGGAGCTGCAGAAGGTGGGAGTGTCTTGAGACCTGGTCTCTCCTTAAGAAAAGTTGACCTTTCTCCCCAACTGGGCCACTGTTACCTCAGTGAGGGGAGGACTTGCTCTAAGGCCTTCCCATACCAATGCCTTGCCCCGGGGGTGGGGTGGGGGGAGGGGAGGGTCCTCAGGAATGTGATGAGGACTGCCAAGAGACACACACAGATTTACACTCTGGGCCTCACCAGACCTTCATCCCCCAGCTCCCAGGTCATACCCTGGGCTGAGCAGGGTCTCATCTGGGAAATTGGGCAGCCCCAGAGGCAGCTACCACTGCCATCACCCTTAGCCCTTCTTCCCCAGTTCTCTGCTGGGGGTGTGGGGTGAGGAGGAAGGTCGAGGCTCTCTTCTTGGCTGTGCTGGACACCCTGAGGGTACCTGACCCTGAGACTGCCTCTAAGGATGACCCGAGCCTCGAGCCTCGGTGGCAGGCAAGTAAGGGTTAAAAGGTATGGGCCGGCCCAGTCCCTGGCCAGGTAGGCTGGGCCATTGCCTAGTGGGAGGCGGTCTAGGCAGCTGCCACTGCACTCACTGCTCACCGCCACTACCAGAGGGAGCCGGGCCTGGTGGAGACAACTATTTTTTCAGGTACCTGAAGCCACCCCACAGTACCTATCTGGTATTGGTGAGCACCTGGGAACATGGGCCCACAGGTTGGGGTGAGGAGGGTATGGAGTGTGTTAATGTTTCTTGCGGGAAAGAGCTAGATCTGCACAAGAGGACAGCAAGGGAGGGCCTGAGTAGATGGGTGAAGCCCAAAATGTCCAATTTCCTTTCTTGGCATGGAGCTGATCCCTTGCCGGAAATGGAGGAAGGGAAGGGAAGGGAAGGGATCAGGGAGAAGAGAAGCCAGAGTCCCCCTTCTCCACTCCCCCGACTTCCTCTTCCCCCTTCCTTCTCTGTGGGAGTAGCCTCTGCCCTCCCTTAACCTGGGGCCCAGCCTCTCAGGAAAGCCCAGAACCCGCCTTCCTGCCCCCCTCACCCCCACCGCATCTGTTCACCTGGGGCAGGGGGCCCTTAGAATAGTGTGAACAGTCTAGACACTGAGAGTTTATTTGCTCCCAGGGTGGCAGGATGTGGAAATGGGGGTCCCACTGAAGGTGTTGGGGTGCCACCCAGGTGAGGTGTCTTGGTTGTAAACAGTCATTATAGCCAGGAATTTCTTGGTTGTGGTGTCAGAAGGGCAGACCTGAAAAACCTGCTGGGCCCGCCTCGGTGTGGGAGTGTTCTCTGCAACTCTCCTGCTGCAGCCCATCCTGAGACAGCACAGGCCCACCATGGGGAAACCCGGGGTCTGGTATGGGAGGGTGTTGGGAGGGGGCTGCTGGGATCCCCTTCTTATCATCTCTGGGTGGGTACCTGGCAACCCCGGGCCCCGAGGCAAATGTGCCCAGGGCAGACATGCAGAGGCAGAGGTTTGGGAGCCAGGTGTGGGGGTGTGGGGCGTGGACCTGTGTCTAGCCTGCCCAATGACCCCATGACTCAGGCCCTAGCTATGTCCCCAAGGTCAGGCTGATAGGGTGGAGTCGGGATTCCTTTCTGGACCCTATGTTGACTTCCAAGATGCCTTGAGCTCCAAGGGAAGGACGGCTTAAGGCAGCTTCGTGTGAGATGTCGGACCAGCCCTGGCCAATGGGACCACCGGGGAGGAGTGGAGGTTTCCGTGAGGGCGAAGGAAGGTTTAGGGGAGCCTTGGGAGGGTTCCTCAAACCCAAATGGAGGCTGGGTAGAAGGACCCTCAGGAGCCAAGGGGCAGAGAGGCTGGGCTGGGGCCTTCAGGAAACCCCGCTGTGTTGAGCAATGTCAGACCTCAGAGCATGGGCATGTGAGCGCCTCTGCAAAGCACACGCTGCTGCCTGGGTATGCGGAAGGGCTTTAGGTTCTGATCCCTGCCCCTGATGTTGAAGACAGGGAACCACAGGAGGGGACAGATCCTATGGGGCGGGTAGGAGGACTGCCGAGGCTTGGCCACATCTCCCATTGTACGGATGGGGAGGGGGCTTGAACCCATGCTTGCTCAGTTGCCTGGGTCTTCTCCACACCTAGCCAGCATTTCGTAACAAGCTGGTAGGTTCGAGGTAGATGGGGATGGGACGTCTGTGACCTCCTGAGGCCCTCCCAGCTGCCTGCCACTGAGGTCAGGCCAGATGGTGGCAGGTGATGTCACCTGGCTGCCCAGCTGGGGACTGAGCAGGATGTGGGAGGGAGGGAGCAAACTCCAGAGGAGGGGATGAGGGCAGGGCTGATAGCCTGCCAAAGCAGGTCCCATGGTCAGCTAGGGCAGCTTGGGCCAGAGAGAGAGGCCGGAGGCAGTCGGCTTGTTATCTGTAGTTGTGGACTTCACTGTTCAAAGTCCCAGCAGGGTGACTTCACTCTGCTGGGTGTGGGACAGACTGGGGTGGGCAGAGGGGCTGGAGGGGTCCTGAAGCCAAGTGGACACTCTTCTCCCTGCCAAACCAAAGCTGCAGGATAGAGCTGGGATGAGTAGCGACCCACAGATCTAGGCTCATTCCCTGGGCTGGCTGCCACGTCATCCTTTTTAAATTTAATTTACTTTTTTATATTTTTATTGATTCCAGAGAAGAAGGGAGAAGGAGAGTTAGACAGAAACATCAATGATGAGAGAGAATCACTGATCGGCTATCTCCTGCACGCCCCCTACTGGGGATCGAGCCCGCAACCCAGGCATGTGCCCTTGACTGAAATCAAATTCAGGACCCTTCAGTTCACAGGTCGACGCTCTATCCACTGAGCCAAACCAGCTAGAGCTCGTCCTCCTTTCATTCACCCAGTAGATCCAGCTGAGCACTTGCTGTGCACACAGAATCTCTCTGAGTGCCAGAGACACTGATGAAAACAGGACAGACACATTCCCTGTCTTCCTGAATGTATGAGGAAGACAGTCTCTTATTGGACAGCAGTTGTGAGGGGATGTAATGTGGGGGCCCAACTCTGGAAGTGACATTTAAGTCCCAGCATGTGAGAACCAGGGTCTGGTGTGGTGATAGGTGAAAAGAGCACTCCAGGCAGCAGCCATAACCTGGGCAAAGGCCCTGAGGTCAGATTGTCTGTGACCTTATGAGGAATTGGTGGGGTTGGAGCAGCTCTAGTGATGGAGAATGTTAGACCAAAGGGGTGGCCTGGGCTCTATCCTTAGCCAGAGGCAAGTTTCTTTACCTCTGTGCCTTCCTCTCCTCATCTCTAAACTAGGGTTAGTGGCCCCGCCAGCGTGGCTCAGTGGTTGAGTGTCGATCTATGAACCAGGAGGTCACGGTTTGATTACCGGTCAGGGCGCATGCCTGGGTTGTGGGCTCAATCCCCAGTGTGGGATGTGCAGGATTCTCTTTCATCATTGATTCTTTCTCATCATTGATGTTTCTATCTCTCTCTCCCTCTCCCTTCCTCTCTGATATCAATAACAATATTTTAATAAATAAATAAATAAATAATAAACTGGGAGTAGTGATAATTACAGAACTGCCATGGTTGTGAAGATTAAAGGTGGCATATAAGGTAGTTCTTCCACGCACTCAGGTGCTTAAGGAAATGCCCACTGTTGTTCTAGTTGGTTGAATCTGTGACATTAATTCTCCCCCTCCAGGTGAGAATCCTGACTGGCCCATGGGCCTCTGAGGAGGCATCATAAGTCTGCCCAGCTCCCCACTTGCTGTGCTCCCACTCAATGGGAAGGGAACCAAGGTATGAGGGCCTGGTGGAGGCCAGATGTTGACACAGATTCTGAGAGGGCAGGTCAAGCAGGCGGGTGGGGTCAGGGTACCCCTTCTTCCCGGGGTGTGGGAAGCTGGGTGAGGGACCACACATGTGCTTCCTTAATGGTTCTCATGCATCACTACCAGGCCTTATCCCACCATAAGCCACGGCCTCGGCCTCTTGACAACACCAGGATGGAAGTCAAAGGTCAGCTGATCACCTCTCCCACTTTCAATGCCTCAGGTCGGTATCTGGTTCTCCTTCTTGCTGCCTCCTCCCCTGCTCTGAGTCACCACCTGCCCGCCCACTTGAGAAGGGCTGGTCTCTGGCCCTACAGGATGCAGGATGCTGTGGCTGCCCCACTGATCTTTGCTCCCTCTGTGTCCAGCTGCCCTGTTTGGGGAGGCCACTCCCCAGGTGAAGTCAGAGCGTCTGAGGGGACTGCTTGACCGGCAGCGGGCTCTACAGGAGGCCCTGAGCCTGAAACTTCAGGAGCTACGCAAAGTGTGCCTCCAAGAGGCGGTGAGAGCCTGGCCCTACGAGTGTCTGGTGTGGGAGGGGGTGGAGAATCCAGGGCCCCTGGGGGGCAGACTGGGGTGGCCATTGCTGAGACATCTATCTGAGGTGCCAATTCCCTGTCACCCTCTAGCTCAGCTTAGATGTCTTAGAATCAATGAAAAAGCCAATGGGCGCCCACCCCCCACCAACAATTTGAAGTCCAAAAAAATGCAAAATAATCGTTATTTCCAAAACTTGGCAGTAAAACCTGACCTGACCTGACACAGGGTGATTTAGAGTGGTTATTCCCTCTTGGTGTGAATGTGCACACAGTCTGCCCGAAATAATAATGCGCAGGTTATAGACTGAGTGTCCTTTTTGTTGTTGTTGCTGTTAATCCTCACCTGAAGATATTTTCTCCATTGATTTTTTGAGAGAGTGAAAGGGAATGAGGGGGGACGGGAGAGAAAGAGAGAGGGGGGAAGAGAGAGAGAGATTGGTTACTGGCCAGGGCCCAGGCTGGGGATCGAGCCTGCAACCCAGGTACATGCCCTTGACTGGGAATTGAACCCTAGACCCTTCAGTGTGTGGACTGGCGCTCTAACCCGGCCAGGGCTAGACTGTGTGTCTTCATAAAAACTCAGACATTCTGGATTTCAAAGCAAGTCTCCCCGCCTCCCATGCCCACTGCCCGGGATTTGGGTCAAGGGGTGACAGTCCAGGCTGCGCACCTGCCTGGTGGAGAATTGGGAGGAGGAAGAGAAATAACAGGCAAGCAATGCCGAGCAGGACTGGGCTCCTAGTAGGACTTCTGTAGCTTCTGGAGTCCTGACTGCTTAGCCCCCTCCCTCCAACTAACCCTTGATAGTCTCTGACTCCTGCTGCCTGCCCCCTCAGGAGCTGACTGGCCAGCTGCCCCCTGAGTGCCCGCTGGAGCCTGGTGAACGGCCGCAGTTGGTCCGACGGCGGCCCCCTGCAGCCCGAGCCTCCCCCCCACCGCCCCCCAACCCAGCGCATCATTCCTTGTGCCCTGCTGAGGTGAGCAGATGGCCAGGGAGGACAGGTTGGGGGTGAGACAGATACCGAGGAGGAGGAGCCTGGACCAGGAGTAGGATTGCGCCCAGGGGAAGGAGAGGCCAGAATGAAAAGGGAAGGGTCTTGAAGGAGGCGGGCGGGTTCCTGGTCTGAGAGAGGATGCTGGTCCCCACCTGTGGGGAAGAGCCTCAGCCTTTGGAAGATAAATAGGCCCAGACTCTAATCAAGACAGGCTGTACCTGCGCAGGGAGTAAGCTCCATCCCCAGGAAGAACAGGCCCCGCCTCCAGTGTAGATGGGCTCTGCCGCCACCTGCTTCCTGTGCTTGGCATTTTCCGACGTTTGGTTGTATCCCCCCCATCCCGGTGGGCCCCGCAGGAGCTGGCCCTCGAGGCTCTGGAG